TAGATAGCTGAAATGGGAAGGTGAAATGATTCTATTTTCTGATGAATTTGTTTTATCAGTTCTATCATGATCTTTAATATAAACTAGATATATCAGAAGATAGATAAAGCATCAATAATGGTATTCCTTTGATTCTATGAACAATTAATAGAGAGACACGTTTCAAACAAAATATGCCAGTTTCTTAAATGAAAATGAAACCATTTCTGGTTTCTAGACAGATATGTTGGATCTCAACATATAAGTCCACTTGTAGTTTCACAGAATTTTTATCCACTGTAAATTCTGGAATATTGAATTTCAATGTTTATTCTTTTATTACATAGCATTCTTCTAATTAAAGTAGGAAAATACAGTTTTAGTTTTTAAAATATAATAAACAATTTGTTTTTCTGACAGAAGGAAACCTGGATGGTAGCATCAGAGAATGACGTGCAATATTACAGAGAATTCAGTCCATGTGTAACACATGTTGTTGTGCACACAGGTACTCATTGTCAAGTTTTTGTTACTGCTTAATACATATATATATATATATATATATATGTAAATATTTATGTTGTATGCATTTCAAGTTCACCTAAACTGAAGGCTCAAGCTAGTTAGACTATATCTATAACATATCATATGTATATGTCTAGGATAGAAATATCACATCAGAGGGTACAGAATTTGAGGCAAAAAAACGAGGTTTGTGGAGGTTTTTGAACACAAATTATATACCTGAGGGTGGGATATTTCTATCCTACATAATTTAAACATATCATGGTGTTATTTTCTTACATAGCATACCTATTTATTTTATCGAGATGGGTAGCAGCAATCTTTGGGCTGAACATCAACTTCTTTGATGAACCAATTTTAAAATTATCTATACTACTGGAACAAGCAGGTTTTGGTTTATACTAAAAGTATGAACACATTTGAATGAACACAGCAATAGTTGTAAATTAGCATCTTGAACTGAAAATTAAGATTCAGCAAAATGGTGTAAAATGACTTCAACTTCCCATATCATGATGTTATTGTGATGTTATACCCATGCAGGTTCCATTCATCTTACATGACCTTACATCATTGAAAAAACTATATCTTACATGGACAGCTATGTAAGAAATTGCCATCTTCTTTATTTTCTGTCGTCTGTTGTTAGCCACTCCACATTTTCAAATTCTTCCCAAGAATTACTGTAGCAAATAATCTTTATTTGATTTGAAGCTATTTTTGGGTTCAATTTTGTAAGTAAAAGTTGCTGGATCTTCTAGTAGCCCAAAAATGAAAGTCTGATATACATGTATAAACAAAACATGCAGTATACTGGCACCATCTTCAGTGGATGAGCAGTTCACTGCCATTAGGTCACTCGAGGTCAAAGGCCAAGTAAGTGAGATTTCCTCAATAATTTCTTCTCCGGACCTTTTGAATTGATATAGATATCTTGCTGTGGATTATGAAAGTTAAGAATTGTGTGAAATGTCAGTTCAGTTATGCAAAATGCTTTAAAAGGTACATATTTTTTTTTCAAAATAATTGATTTCTGTTGTTTTGGAGAAAAAATTGTCCTTTGTTCATAAAACAATGTTAAGAAACATTATACAACTGTACCAATATTTACATTATTTGTCTTTCAGATCCAGTACGTATTGCCACAAGAACAGTGAAATATTTTTTTGCCATTGCTAATCATTGCTGGATTCTAGATTACAAGTGGATAGAAGACAGCAAGCAAGCAGGACACCTGTTACCAGAGGTATATTAAACTTTGTTATAACGAGATGTCCTAGGAAATTCTTGCAGTTTTTATTCTATATTTGCCCTTTCACAATAAAATAATGAAGCAGCAGGAAACAAAAATCTGTTGAGAGGATGATATTTATTGAAGGCCAAGGCTAAATATCCTTGGGTCAAGAAAAGACGATGAAATCCAACAATTATTGTACGATTACAATCAATCCAGTAGATAATCTTATATGCAAAGATAATGAAATAATGACTGTGTGATGCGGGGATGTAGTAAAATATGGACTCGAGCATTGGAGTAGACTATTAATATTTACACATTTTCCCCGTGTATTTTTGCATAATTTCCTATTAATATCCTTAACGTTCGTATCAGTGATATTTCTTTATTTTGAAATATGATATAGTTTATAGTACACATGTTTTATTTCATATCTACCGGTATTCAGCTTCAAACTCGGTTGTCGTTGTTATGAAATTGCATAGTGTAAATTCTGTTCTTGATGTACATTCCGACATTAGTTTGTATTAGCCTAAGTATTTCTTTGTATTTTTAGGTCATCTGGACCCGAAGGGTCCGATGACCTATAGTCATCATGCTTCGTCCGTCGTCGTCCGCCGTGCGCCGTCCGTAAACTTTTCATTCAAACGACTTCTTCTCAAATACTAGAAGGTCTAGGGGGCTAATACTTGGCACAGAGGATACTGGCATGGAGCTCTACCAAGTTTGTTCAAATGAATGACCTTGACCCACATTAAAGGTCACAGGGGTCAAATATGTTAAAATCTTTAAACAACTTCTTCTCATTAACCAAAAGGCTCAGAGTGTAGATATTGGGCCTGTGACATGCTGGGATGAAGGACTACCAAGTTTGTTCAAATGAATGACCTTGACCCACTTTAAAGGTCACAGGGGTCAAATATGTTAAAATCTTTAAACAACTTCTTCTCAATAACCAAAAGGCTCAGATTGCTGATATTGTGCCTGTGGCATGCTGGGATGAAGGGCTATCAAGTTTGTTTAAATGAATGACCTTGAACAACTTTCAAGGTCACAGGGGTCAAATATGTCAAAATCTTTAAATAACTTCTTCTCAAATACTAGAAGGCCTAGGAGGCTAATACTTGGCCCATAGCATGCTGGCATGGAGCCCTACAAAGTTTGTTCAAATGAATGACCTTGGCCCACTTTCAAGGTCACAGGGGTCAAATATGTTAAAATATACAAAGGACTTCATCTCAATAAGCAAAAGTCTATGAGTGCCGATATTGGGTCTGTAGCATGCTGGGAGGAAAGGCTACCAAGTTTATTCAAATGAATGACCTCAACCCACTTTCAAGGTCACAGGGGTCAAATATGTTAAAATATACAAACGACTTCTTCTCAACAAGCAAAAGTCCATGAGTGCTGATATTGGGCCTGTAAGATGCTTGGAGGAGAGGCTACCAAGTTTGTTCAAATGAATGACCTCAACCCACTTTCTAGGTTTGGCTTGCTTTTTGTCAGATGACCGTTAAGGCCCATGGGCCTCTTGTCTTCTGTAGCTTCTTACCCTCTGTTGAGGAGGCAAATAATTATCCTATGAAGCAAAAGAGGCTTGTTATTGCACAGTAAGAAGACTTTACCTGTACTACCTCACACAGTGTGCAAGATCCATCATGGCAGAGTCCCTACCACCAAGGAGAACGAGAAGTCTCACAGTTCTCGGGAATCTTCAATATGAAGAGTTTGCCCAGAAGTACAGTTACAAACTTTTGAACATCAAACGGAACATTGATTCGATAATCATGGATATCGAAGATAACCCAGTAATGAGCCTTGGCGTCGCAGCAAAGCTCAAGGCCGACCTCAAGACTAACATGGACCATTATGACAAGATTTCAGAAGATTTTCTGTCGTACCTTAGATCACAGCGTACAGAGACCAGCTTCCAACAAGAAACCGATCAAAGACAAGCAATGTCGTATGTCCACGAGAGATATACTACAGCCTTTGAAAAATTAAGTAGTTTTGTGCCGAAACCAGGGTCTGAAATGTCATTTCACTCTAGCAGACCGTCTGAATGTGACTCACAAGTTTCTTCCGTTGTACTAAAACACACAGCAAAGCTGGCAGATGCTAAATTAAGACTTAAGTATGCACGAGAGGAAGCAGAGTTGATGCGGCGTGAAGCAGCATTACAAGCAGACCGTACCATTTTAAAGGTAAAGCGTGAAATGGATGCAGCGCAGTCTAGTCTTACCGCAATCAAAAAGGCTCTTAATTTCTCAGCGGAAGATGCAGATGAATGTGATAATTACACCGACGTGGGTGGTACAAACCTCCAAACTTCAGTACATGGATCTGAATTTGATTTTCATCGGACGCATACAGTAAAGGAGAATATAGAACCTTTGACGCAATTCAGTCATGTTCCTCCGCCTTTGTCACATACTCCCACTCGGGTTCGGACTGAACATTATGGTAAAGAAAATTACGACACTACTAGAGGTCAAGATTTTAACAATCCCGATGACTCTCGGTTATCTGCACGTGCTCAATTCGACGCAGAGTACTCCAAAATTCCTGACAGTCGTAAACGTCTATGTTCAGATTTAAATCCGTATGCGCCCCCATTTATCGGTGCTGAACCTACCAAAACGACCACCGACGTTTATCAACAAAGTTCGGTAGATACCCCCCAAACTGAACTCTTTAAATTGATGATAAAAAAGGATCTCATCCCCTCACGCTTCACGAAATATGATGACAATCCTATGACGTACATCGCATGGAAATTGAGCTTCAAGAACATTTGCCGTGAGCTCAATGTTACCCATAGAGAGGAGTTGGACCTCCTGGTGCGTTGGCTCGGCCCCGAATCATCTAAGCAGGCAAACACTATCCGTGCTTGCAACGCACATGATGCCAATATTGCTAAGGAAAAGATCTGGGATCGTCTTGAACAGCGATTTGGTTCACCGGAAGCAGTTGAGAGTGCGCTTAAACATCGCCTTGCCAGTTTCCCGTCTCTGACATTAAGCGTCTGTATGACTTAGTTGATCTCGTAACCGAGATCGCTTCCGTGAAAGATCAACCACGTTATCGTGTGGTTTTTGGCTACTACGATTCCTCCACCGGAACTAACCCCATAGTGTCAAAACTACCTACATATCTCCAAGATCGGTGGACGTTGGAGGCCACTAAATACAAGCGTCGCGAGGACGTAGCCTATCCCCCCTTTTCGTTCTTCGTGAAGTTTATAAAGGACATTGCAGAAATGAAGAACGACCCTAGTTTTCATTATACTACGCATAATGATGTAAAAACAAGTGCTCGTCAGAACAAGGGACTTCCGGGAGGTGCAACCATCTCAAATAAGAAAACTGAGGTGACTCATGACGTAGGAACGTCAACTTCAAAATCACTGTGTCCCTTTCATTTGACACTCAAACGTGAACTCCCACACACACTAAATGAGTGTGTAGCTTTCCGTCGGAAGTCGTTAGACGATCGTAAACGATTTGTGCGTGAAAACGGCATTTGTTTTAAGTGTTGTGGAGATAAGAAACACAGAGCTAAAAATTGTAAGGCCTCTGTCAAATGTGGAGTTTGTAAATCTGATGCCCATGCCACTGCATTTCATGACTCAAATCCTAATGAACCAGACTCTGCTACTGACAAAGAGCAGACCGAAGTGAAATCGATCTGCACCCAGATCTGTCAAACTACGTATGGAACAAGCAAATCTTGCGCCAAAATTCTGCCTGTAAAGGTCTACCCTGAGAACAATCCTCACAACAGTCGTACGATATACGCGCTCGTGGACGATCAGAGTAGTCATTCATTAGCTACACCGTCATTCTTTGACGCCTTCAGTGAACATGGTCCTCAATATCAGTATGTTTTAGTTTCCTGCGCTGGAAAGAAACCGAACCATGGCAGAAGAGCTGATGGTTACGTTATACAGTCTGTAGACAATGCAAGTTCCCTAAAACTTCCAACTCTTATTGAGTGTACTGATATCCCAAATAACAGAAATGAGATACCGTCGCCAGAGATAGCAGAACATTTCTCCCATCTGCGTGACATCGCTGAATATATCCCCCCTATAGACTCTCATATGGACATTGAGCTCTTGATAGGCAGGGACCTTATTGCCGCTCATCATGTTCTCGAACAACGAGTCGGAGAGGACAGACACCCTCTCGGACAGAAACTTCCCCTCGGCTGGGTCATTTTGGGTGAGGTGTGTATGGACAAGGTACATCTCCCAGAAACTGTTAATGTTAACAAAACATTCATACTTGCCAGTGGTCGCCCTTCTTATTTTCAACCTTGCGAGAACAAGTTGTCTGTCGATCCATTCCAGAAGACCGAAAATGATGAAAAGACTGGGCTTTCTATTGAGGATCGCATGTTTTTACAACTCATGGATTCCGACTTTCAGAAAGGGCATGATGGCCGTTGGATAGCCCCTTTGCCGTTTCGCACAGACAGATCACTTCTTCCGGATAATAAATATCAGGCAGAGAAGCGTGCTAAAGCTCTGGACTCCAGTCTCAGACGTAACCCAACGAAAAGGAAACACGGCGATTTCATGCAAAAAATATTTGATCGAGGACATGCCGAAAGGGCACCTTCTATCCCACCCGACAAAGAGCGTTGGTTTCTCCCTATGTTTGGGGTATATCACCCAAAAAAGCCAGACTCGATACGTGTAGTCTTTTATTCATCTGCTAGACACCAAGGCGTGTCACTGAATGATGTGTTGTTGAAAGGACCTGACTTATCAAATTCATTACAAGGCATCCTATTGAGATTCCGTCGAGAGAGAATTGCTATGACAGCCGATGTGGAGCAGATGTTCCATAATTTTCATGTCTGTGAAGATCACCGTGATTTTCTACGTTTCCTATGGCACCCAAACAACGACCTTGACGCATCTCTGGAAGAGTACCGTATGACTGTTCACGTTTTTGGGAACAGCCCCTCTCCAGCCATAGCTACGTACGGCCTACGCAAGTCAGTAGAACATGCCGATCTGGATGTCAATGGTTTTGTCGACCGTAATTTCTATGTGGACGACGGACTTGCTCTAGCGTTGAGGAAGCTGTCAGCCTTATGACACGTACTCAGTATGCACTCAAGGAGGAAGGACGGCTGCGACTTCATAAAATCGCATCAAATTCTAAGTCTGTGCTTCAGCAGTTTGATCAAAATGATCTCGCCAAAGATATCAAAAATTTGGACTTCGGTTGTGACGAACTTCCAATACAGAGGAGTCTCGGCTTGTCTTGGAACATAGAGAAAGACACTTTCATTTTTAGAGTCTCTCAAGAGCCGAAACCCTTTACTCGCAGAGGTGTTTTATCGACCATCAATACTCTTTTCGACCCTATTGGCTTCACATCGCCAACAACTCTTCAAGGAAAGCTCTTGCTTAGAGAAATGATGACAGGCACAAGTAATGTAGACTGGGATGAGCCACTTCAGGATACTTTTCGCATACAGTGGGAAAGTTGGATTCAGTCTTTGCAACATCTGAAGGATTTTCAGATTCCAAGAATGTACTGTGAATATTCAGTTGAAAGTGCGCCACGTAAGGAAGTTCATGTGTTCTCAGATGCCTCGAAGGAGGCTATAGCTGCAGTAGCTTTCTTGAAGGTTTTCAGAGATGATGAAACATTTGACATTGGATTCCTCTTAGGAAAGAGTAAAGTTGCTCCTATGCACGGTCACACAATCCCGCGTCTAGAACTGTGCGCCGCGGTAGTTGCTGTCGATCTTGCCGAAATTATCAGAGAACAATTGGATGTTGACACTAGTGCGTTCCATTTCTATACAGACAGCAAAAGGGACCGAAATTTCTTAGAAACGGCGAATCGTTGGAAACCAGTCACGACTTTCCGCTTGTGAACGTGGACTCCGATTCCGAAGTTAAAAAAGAGCTTGTTTGTGCCAAGACTAGAGTAGAAACTGCTCTAGGAACTGACCGTTTCTTAAGGTTTTCAAGTTGGACAAGTCTCATACGAGCAATCAAAACCTTAAAGCAACTAGCCCGCAAGAACAGTAAAACTTCATCCGGTAATCAAGCAAATGAATCACCAGAGACCTTTATCATAAAGCTAGTACAACGAGAGATGTACGCAGATGAGATTGACGCCATTACGGAGGGGAGGACTCCCCCATCCAACAGCTCTCTTCTACCGTTAAACCCAGTTTTAGATTCAAATGGAATCTTCCGTGTCGGTGGACGTATCCGGAAAATCCAGACTGACAATTCTGATTCCGCAGTGCACGAGCAAATGTGTCATCCAATAATAATACCGAAAGCTCACCGCATCGCCTTGCTGCTCATACGGCATTACCATGAATCTATTCATCATCAAGGGAGGCACCTTACTGAGGGTGCTATTAAATCAGCAGGATACTGGATTGTTGGTGGGAAGCGTCTGATCGCTTCGGTTCTGAAACAGTGTGTCACTTGCCGTAAACTTAGGGGACAGTTCGGATGGACTCAAATGGCAGATCTTCCTCAGGATTGAATTGAGCCTGGCCCTCCGTTCACCTTTGTTGGGGTGGACACGTTTGGTCCATGGCCTGTGGTGTCCAGACGCACAAGGGGAGGACTTAGTAATAGCAACAGGTAGGCCATTCTATTTACTTGCTTAGTGTCACGTGCCGTACACATTGAGCTTGTCGAAGAGCTGAGCACTCCATCGTTTATCAACGCATTGCGGAGATTCGTTGCCATCAGAGGGCCTGTCAGACAGTTTTGCTCCGACCGTGGTACGAATTTCGTAGGAGCTGTCAAGGAGCTCAACATAAAGGCCGATTTCGTAGAAAGCCGTACAGTGCAAAATTATCTGTCCTCCAGTGGGATTACCTGGATCTTTAATCCCCCTCATGCATCCCATTTTGGCGGCGCGTGGGAGCGCATGATTGGGTCATGCAGACGGATACTGGATGGTATGCTCTTAGGATACAAACAAGACTTAACACACGAGGTTCTGTCTACATTCATGTTGGAGATATGTGCAATTATGAACGCCAGACCGTTGTTGCCGATATCCTCCGATCCAGAATCGACAGAAATACTTTCACCATCCTTATTGCTCAACCAAAGACCTACAACATCAGACTATGAGGTTCCCATATTTGGTTTGAAGGATGCAGTTAAGAGTCAGTGGAAACGTGTGCAACATTTAGCCGATGTGTTTTGGTCCCGCTGGCATCAAGAATATTTAAATCATTTGCAAACGCGTCAGAAATGGATGTTCGGAGGCATCGCGTTCAAAGAAGGTGACGTCGTGCTTATGAAGGACAGTGAACTACCGCATAATCAGTGGCCTATCGGAATTGTGGAAGAGACCTTTCGAAGTGATGACGACAAAGTCCGGAAAGTGAAAGTGCGCGTGTCTCGCGGTGACAAATCTGTGTCATATGTCCGACCAATCTCTCAGATCGTTCGTCTCGTCGAAATGGATTCGTGACAAACCAAGTTTAGTATAGTGAACTGTTGAAACAATTTCATGTGTGTTCATCTTTAGTGTTAAAAACTGCTACAATCACTCATAAACTGTAAGGACTTCGTATCATTCCCTAATCTAGTTAGTCTTGATTCTAAATGTTTTATAATACTTTAGCATTCTTTGAATTAATTTTAATTGTATGGTGATTCCAGGGAGGAATCAGGAGGGGAGTGTTTTCCGGATCTGTGTCGGTTCGGTAAATTAGTTACTCCTCACATGCCATGCTTGAAAACACGTGTGCAAATTCTTGAAGAAATTTGCCCCTGGGTGTCTACAAAGTGTAAGTTTTGATAGAAGCATTTGTCATTAGTCTTCTTATAACATATTTCAACACATTTAATGCAGTAATTTGTTCGTAGAACGATGTCAAGGAGTTGTTTACATGTTACTAGTTCACGCTGGCGGCAGCGGGGATGTAGTAAAATATGGACTCGAGCATTGGAGTAGACTATTAATATTTACACATTTTCCCCGTGTATTTTTGCATAATTTCCTATTAATATCCTTAACGTTCGTATCAGTGATATTTCTTTATTTTGAAATATGATATAGTTTATAGTACACATGTTTTATTTCATATCTACCGGTATTCAGCTTCAAACTCGGTTGTCGTTGTTATGAAATGGCATAGTGTAAATTCTGTTCTTGATGTACATTCCGACATTAGTTTGTATTAGCCTAAGTATTTCTTTGTATTTTCTTCTGTAGCTTCTTACCCTCTGTTGAGGAGGCAAATAAACATCCCATGAAGCAAAAGAGGCTTGTTATTGCACAGACTGTTTAAGGTTAAAGTAATATAAAAAATAATAATGCTGTGTTTGACGTTTAAGTTTTGGCTAGACTTTAATTTGTTGGTTATCTTGGAATCAAACACATGTTAGATAAGATATGGAAAGAAGAGAAGACTTGTAAAATCTGTTACAAACCTCAATGGGTATTCGTATTGAATATGCTACAGTGTACAAATATCTATAGTGCCATGTTTTAGATAAAACAAAAAACATACTAGATTATTAAGAGAATCAGTTTTGCTTTTACTTTCACTAGGAAGATTATGAGATAATTGGGGATTCTACAACTGGAACAAAAATTCAAAGGCCAAAAGCTTCACGCATGACGGGTTCGTCGCTGCTGACAGGGTATGAAATATACTGTGATGAAAAATCAAGTAAAGATATTGACACAGGTGTGTATGCATTTACTTGCAATTACTTTGATTATTTTTCTTGACTTTAATTTTTATCAGGAATATTCCATTTAAATGTATAGCCAACACCAAAAGTTTTTAGAATAAATCATATTGGTTTGATGTTTGGGTTTAGAACAAAATTTTAACCCAAGGTCATACGGTATGTTGGGGAAAAAAACAACAAAAAAACACTTTAATAATAAAAACAATAATGACATCCATGGTTTGGAGTATGAATTTAAGTAGAATAGCCCTATTAAATCATCTATGTAAGATATACAAGATACATATACATAGATCAAAATTATTATGAATAATTGAAAGTTCAGGATATCATACAGGTAATTTTATTATCATGAATTGTCCATGGATGAATTTAAATATTTTTTTCGTACAAAGAGTTTAAACACATTGGTGTATCAATGTTAATTGTTGCAATTTTCAAGAACTTACATTATTCTTTGTAGTTACTATGATAAAATTGCTACTTGAATGTGGAGGTACTGTAGCACGAAGTCTCTCAGATTTCTCAAACAAACATGTGAAACAGCTTATAGTGACATGTACTGAAGATGATGATGTGACACCTGAGGATGTTGAAAAATACACTGGTAAATACATTTGCAAGAAATTATTTATAAATACGCAAAGACACACAGGGAGTTAATTAACTATAAGGAGTGTTGGTTAAAATTTGTATTTTTTTTAGATACGACATACAATATGTAAAGTTAACTGGAGGTATGTATACAATATATGTATACACACACGTTCAGTACAAGACATGGTCAGAGGTACACAGAATGATCATACATTTATTGGTTAGTCATATTTTGTGATTGGTCAGTTTTTTGTCTTTTAGGTAAAGTTCTTGGGAGTTTTTCAATATTGTTTGATATTATCCACCATCTATCCCCCCTACCACACCACACTCCAGTTATACATTTTGGCAGAGAATTTTAGACAGGCCTTGTAATGGTGTGTGCCAATCCAATATCTGTCTAGATCTTGGGTTCTCTTGTTATAAGGCCTAGAATCAGAATTTGGAACATCTGTTGACATAGGAGTGATGGAAGGTTCATACATTTCTTGATTTGTTAAGACACTCAAATCATAACGCTATCTCAATGTATTTGATATTTTATTTTCAGAGATTTACAAGAAGACTGGAATTGTGACAGTAGTTCGTGACTGGGTCTTTGATTCACTTTCATTATACAGTGTGCAGCCATTAGATGAATACAAATTTACTACAGAGGAAAACATGGTAATAATATAATGAATTTTAAATGTTTCTGATTTCAGTGATATTTTGTGGTTTGACTGGAAATGATGTAGGACATTGAATGCATTTTTAGCTTTACTGGTCAAAAATATGGAGAGCTGATGTTATAACCTGTCGGC